TTTCCATATCGAGGAACACAGACAGAAAAAATTGCTTATGAACAAAAGCATCGCGAATTTGTGCTTCGATACGGACAAGGTGGTCAGTGGTGGACCGAGCCTCTCGAAATCCACACTGGTATGGGTCAAGTAGGCCATTAATTTCAAGGAAGTGCATCAGGCGCCTGTTAATCATTTTTTCAAAGACTTTGCAAATACAGCTGGTTAATGCTATTGGCCTGTAGCTGGAAATTGAGGCCGGGTCCTTGCCTTGTTTTAGAATTGGGATAATGATAGCTTCCTTCCAGGCTGAGGGTAGCTCGCCAGAAGACCATATCGCATTATAGAGAGAGAGGAGAGCTTTCTGGGTTTCAGTGGGCAGGTGTTTCAACATTTCATATGCCACACGGTCCGGGCCTGGGGCAGATTTATTGCAGCAGGCAAGTGAGGCCTGCAGTTCAGCCAAACAGAAAGGTTCGTTGTATGCCTCATGTGTTGTGGGCTTGCGCTCTAATCTCTGTTTTTCTATTGCGGTTTTGTATCGTCGGAACGCTTCACTATAGTGTGTTGAGCTGGAGACCTGTTCAAAGTGTGCTCCGAGAGTGTTTGCCTGGTCTTCCAAACTCTCGCCTTGGGTGTTCACTAGAGGAAGAGAATGTGCTCCTCGTCCTGCCACCTTACCAACCATACTCCAGACTCTCGACTCATCTGTGTATGAGTTAATGCCCGACACAAATTTGTGCCAACTTTCTCTTTTCGCCTGTCGGCGCGTCCTCCTTGCTTGCGACATAACGTTTTTAAAGTTTACAAGATTCTCGGCTGTGGGCGAGTATCTAAGCAACCTCCATGCCTTATTTTGTTTTTTTCGAGCATCACGGCACTCATTATTCCACCATGGTACTCGTCGTTTGCTTGACGGTCCACATGTTTGGGGAATACATTTTGTTGCTGCATCAACCAAGAAAGCTGTGAAGTAGCATACAGCATCCTCTATGCTCAATGTCGCCATGTCAGTCCAAGATAATAAAGTCATTTTTTGAAACTTTTCCCAATTGGCTTTGTCGGTGAGCCATTTGGGAACCTGTGCAGGACATGTATTTGTTATTGATGTGCTAATAACGATAGGAAAATGGTCACTACCATATGGATCATTAATGACTTCCCATTTAAGTAGAGGCAGGAGTGATGGGGATATTATGCTGAGGTCTATTGCTGAGTACGTATTGTTAGCGATGTTGTAATATGTTGGCTCTTTCCGATTCAGCAGGCACGCACCGGAAGAAAACAGGACCTGTTCAATCAGGCGACCTCGAGCATCGCAGCGAGAGTCACCCCATAGATTGCTATGTGCATTGAAATCTCCCAGGAGAATATAAGGTTCTGGAAGTTCCTCTATGAGGGACTCGAATTCATGCTTTTCAAGACGGTGTTGCGGAGGTATGTAGAGAGAGCAGATGGTGACGAGCTTATTTAAAAGAACTGCTCGAACAGCCACCGCCTCAAGGGATGTTTGTAGTGGTAGGTGTGTGCATGCAATCCCTTGATTAACTATAATGGCAACACCACCGGATGGCACTATGGCATCATTCCGGTCTTTCCGAAAGATAACGTAATGACGTAAAAAGTTGGTGTGTTTAGGTTTCAGGTGTGTCTCTTGTACGCACAGCACCTTAGGTGTATGTTTGTGTAAAAGTTCATGGATATCGTCGAGGTTTCTCAACAGTCCTCTGACGTTCCACTGTAGTATTTGTGTCATTTTAATGTAGTGTGGTGCTGTGTGTACAGAGGTGTTGCGTTAGTTTACAGGGCCTTTTGAGGGCCCCGTGATTTGAGGTTTTTCTTTTTTGGCGCGCTCTAAGGAGTTGCGCCTATCCTTCGGCGTCTGAGGCGCCGGAGGAGTGGGACTTGTATCCATCACCTCTTGTGAGGTGGTGGATGGTGCCTGCTGGGCAGGCACATTCACTGAACTTTTGGACCTAACTGCCCCTGCAGTGGTCCCAGGTTCGGCAGACACCGGGGTCTGCCGGCCCTGTTTGTCAGGTGGCGGAGCAGTACAGGCTGCTCCAGCCGGGGGCGCTGGCGGCACGACCGCGGCCACACACTGTGTGACATTCGCGGGTGCCGAGGCATGTGGCGCGGCGCCCCGGCGCGTCACATCTGCAAAGGAGGGATAAGATGGGTTGTGTATTGCGAAACGTTGGCGTGCTTCTTGGAATGTGAGATTGAATTTAACCTTGAGTTCTACTATTTGTTTTTCTTTTTTCCATGCGGGGCATGATCGTGAGTAGGCAGCGTGATCTCCTTCACAGTTCGAACAATGAGATGTTTCTGAGGTGCAGTTGTCTGATATGTGTTGAATGGATGCGCACTTTGCGCAAGTGGCACGCCCTCTGCAACTCTGCGATCCATGACCGAAACGTTGGCACTTGAAACATCGACGAGGGTTGGGAATGTATGGTCTTACACGAAGCTTACAATAGCCGGTTTCGATTGATTCTGGTAGGTCACTTGTTCCGAAGGTAATTATTACGTGTTTTGTAGGGGTAAGTTTGTTGTTGCGCCTTATTGTTATTCGTTGGACTTTGACCACGTTCTGGTCCTGCCAACCTTCGAGCAGCTCACTTTCAGAAAGCTCAGTAAGGTCATCATCAGAAACTACGCCACGGACAGTGTTCATGGACCTGTGTGGGCCCACCGAAACAGGGGTTTCCCCAAAGGCTACTAGCTTAGACAGCTTTTCATACTGGGCTTTGTCACGTACCTCTAAAAGAAGATCGCCACTTCCCATCTTTGTCACTTTATAACCTGGGCCTATTGCTTCTGTGAGAGTTTTGGAAACGAGGAAAGGTGAAATGGCTCGGACTGTCTTGTTTTCGTTTTGACTGTGGATTACATGGTACTTTGGGAATGTCGGCTTTGGTGTGTTTAGCAGGAAAGTATCATCGGTGCGCCACCTTTTTAGGGAGCGATCAGGAAGGAGGGGAAAAGCTTTTGCCATAAAAATACTATAAAGTTCGGCGGCGATGGTGGCCACCCACCACCGAGCCCAACAAGGGGACGCTACAAGGTTAACTAGTGAACACTTGGAGACGCCAGCCATGCATCGCCGCTATAACCGAATATAACTACCCAAGGTTGGGTAACTACACAGGGTTAACCCTCGCCGCCAGGAAATTCGGAAGTAAACGGAAAAGAGAAGATGACAGGACAGATAAAAAGTGAGAGATAAAGACGAAGATGTAGGAAGAGAGATAGGAAAAGGCGACTGCCGATTTCCCCTGGGTGGGTCAGCCCAGGGGTGCCGTCTACGTGAAGCCGGGGCCAAAGGGGTGTGTTGCCTCTGCCGGGGGGCCTTAAAGGTCCAATCACCCAGCGTCAGCTCAACCCCCAAGATCCCCTTTTCCCCGGACACGGCAAAGCCACGCACGGCTAGGCGTGGGAGGGAGCCGAAACTCCCCCGTTAGCTCGGGTCCGTGGTGTCGCTACACACCAAACGCCTACTTGTGCAGGCGCCCCTGCGGGGGTTTGTCCTGCAGTGCCAATTTTCACTGGGCCGAACGCAAACGACGCGCGTGGACGGCGTGGTCGGCATGCTTACGAGAACTGTAAAAACGCTAAACCACTAAGCTACACGTACTGCAGTGCACACAGTACATGATTTAGATTGACTAAGAAGTTTATCGTTGGTAGCCGTCATCCCGCTCCCATGAATTTCGATGCAGACATCATCGCACTCCCGCCAAATTCTTAGTAATCACTGCATGACCTACTGAGGCTCTTAACGCAAATGCGCAAAATCCTAAGTTTTTTCACAGTGACATACGTGAACGAATAATTTTGAACATCGAATATTTGAAGTTAGTTTGAACATTCGAAATTTCCGAATATGCAGTTATTGAATTGAATACGAATATTTTAAAGTTTCCCATATTCGTACACCCCTACTCGTTAGCGTGAATGCGCGCTGCTGAACGGTTCAGACAGCGACAGATCGGCGAGTGGCAATGACGATATCACACAAGAGTGATATCGTCAGAAACGAAAAATTGGTGAACACAAGCTTTATAAAATGCGTTGCTGGACGAGTTGGTGCACGTGTAAACATAAAAGTTGAGCAAAAAAAAAAACGACGAAGCGCAGGAAAGCAAATAGACAGGATAGAGCGTGCAGCCATAGATTGTGATTTTGTCAAACCTGCCCGTTAGACGGCACACATTACAATATGGCGGCCCCCTGTAGTGAAATTTTGAAAATGTGTATATAAGGCACATATGTAGCAGAATTGCTTGAACAACAATTGACATGGTAGTTGAATGCCATAAGCTCAGCATTTGTTAGTTGGTTTGATCGTGAATACAGGTCACTAGCTTGTTTCAACAACATTTACAAAAAAACAAAATAAAGGTCGACCTATATTGGAATAAATACGATACCATAATTCGTTGAAACAAATCTATCAAATTCACATTACAGTCAGAGTAACAGACTTGGCGCTCTAAAAAATATACCAGCCAAATTTAAACCGGCTTGAATCTTCAAAAGACACCCAATCATGCCTAAAGCACTAGTGGCAAATCGGCAAGCTTCATCAGAGAGCGGGCTGTCAGTACCGTGCCAAACTTAACTTTGCTGGGATACCGAAGACAGCCTCCTAAAGAAGCATTCCTGCTCCGTGCTCTGGCCTCCCATCAACCACTCATGCTGTGCACCAAACTGTCTGATCCATGCACATTGCAATCGCTCAAGTGATTCAGTCAGTTGTGCAAAAAGCAAGCAGTGGAATCTTCAAGCAACGAAAATATCAAGCATACAACCACCTTAACTCCACCGTCAGTTTGGGCAATGTTTTAAACTGAATGCCTTAATTCTCAGATACATGGATCTTTTCTGTATTGCACATCTGTGGCCTTTGAAAGATATTCCTTTAGTTGCAATGCATAGACACCAAAGATTCTAAGCATACCCCAAAATGAGCACCATAGGCGGGTTCCATATCTCACATATGTTTGAAAACAGCCTACCTTTTCCACTCGGTCTGGCACATAGGAGGGGTCACAGTAGACCTGCTTGCAGCGTGCCGTCTCACTCCCGGACCGCACGCCCACTACACGGCCATTTTCCAGTACAATTTCGTCTATGGGCTTGTCCAGCATGTACGTGCCCCCATAGATGGCACTCAGCCTGCAGAGAACAGCCAGGTGAGCATCAAAAGAAAGCAAGGGGTTCTAAACGAGTTAAATTTGAAATGCTTCACCAGTTGATTGCTTTGACTTTCCGTTAAGGCTGCCAATTCAAAACTGCAATAATCAGAGTCACCACAGCTGAATCGCTCGTATCACAGCTTCTAACTAAAGGGTTTCATATGCCGATCAGCATACAGCCACAACCGAAAGTCTGCATTGCACAATGTGAAGTTATTGAGCAGTGAAGCATCTTAAAAAAAAAAAAGTTTTCTTGCAAAGCCAATGCACTGAATCTGAATGCCATATAAAGTAACGCTAGCAGCTACAGTCGAATCGCGATAATTCGTACTCGAAAGGGCCCGAAAATTTGTTGGAATAAAAAGAAGTTTGAATTAATAAACAACAAACAGAGGGCTTTCCATGCAGTGGAGCATGTAGATTGAGCTAACACACGAGGGGGAAGTTTCAGAAGACTTACATCTATTCACAAATCACAGGACATCCGTTATCAATTGAAGTAATCTGTGATGCGCGTCTGCACACGTTTGCGTTGCAGCAAGTCAATTTCGCACGCAGCTTGCAAAGCATTTCTACTTTGGCTTCAGCATTCTCCTGGCAAGAGAAGTTGCGCGTGGAAATGTCGAGTGCCCACACTTTCTAAAGACAACGACAACGAATGCGCAGCGAAGCGGCCGCAGCATGGCCAGCACGCGACGAGAACGGAGGAGCCTCTCCACGCGGAGAGAAGCAGATCAGCAATTGCGATAAAACCAACACTCCACAGCAGCTTTTTGTTTTTGCTATCTTCGCGTGTGTTGTTGAAAGGAGAAGGGTTACGTGGCAGGGACAAGAAAGAGAGAAGCATGGCACCAGCGCGTGATTGACTCCCCTCCCTCAAGGCCAGAGCCGTACTCCCGCAAGGGGCGAGGGCTGTAGAATATAGTGCCTTTTCCCTTTCCTTCAACCACACATTCATTCAACCCAGCGACAGCTTTCTTTTTTTTTTTTCCTCTCTTTGGTGGCGTGCGGCGTTGCAAGGAGAAGGGTCTTTATGTGGCAGGGACGGAAAAGGGAGAAGCGTGAAGCGTGACACGGGCGCAGCGTGACACGGGCGCATCGCAGATCAGCATTTGAGAGACAGCAAACACTCCACTGCAGGCCTTTTCTTTCCTTTTCATTTCCTTCGCACGCAGCGTTGAGGTGTCGCAGGTGGTGCCACGGGATTGGGCGGGGCTTTGACGGGACCTCTTCGTGACTTTGAATTAACCGAAAGTTCGAATTAAGAGTGTTCAAATAATGAGATTCGACTGTAACTATCTTGCATCTGATCGCGCGTAACTGCAATATGCTTATGTAAGGAAATATCAGAAAGTAAAGCAGTTTTGGAGATTAATGAAGTACGTACAGCGTAAACTCGAGACGGGAATACTAAAGAAGAGACAGACAAGTGTTGATCCCCATCTTGAGTTCGCCCTGTACATTATTTCATTATGCAAAACCAACTAGCTCACAGTTTCACTCTACCAAGTTTTTGAGCTGTCTCATTTCAAGCAAATCTATGATGTCTGTTCAAAGCACACACACCAGTGCTTGCCATTCCAAATTTGCACTAGCTATTCAAATGATGCAGCACCCCTTTCTTGCTCTTGAGCTATTCGATATGCGTTCATTTTCGGCCTGATGTAGTGCACACGGAATGAATAATTAGAAGCATGGGACAAACGCTGTTCTTTCATGCTTCTTCGCACTACGAAAGCCTAATGTAGTTTGCTCTCTGCCTGAGAAGCCATTGACAGCATAATACTGCACGTGCCTATTGTGCACAAAAAGTCACGACGTCACATACGACTGAGTGAGTGCCTGAGTATGAACTTTATTGAGGTCCCATGAAATAAAAATGCTGTGCCGAAAGCCCCGCCAATCAATCCGGCGGCTCCGCCTAGGTCGGGACCGATAGACAGATTACTTCGGCGACGGCCCTCTGTACAGCCTTGAGCCGAGCGATGAGCTCAAGGCTTCGAAGAGACCCAGGAGGACTGGTCGAAAAAAGTCTGTACCCACGTTGGCAGGGCACAGCCATAGCATGTGGTCGAAATTGTCATATTCGTGACCACGGTGTCAGCATACAGTAGAGAAATTAAAATTGATCCTGCTAAGTGCCGTTGGTGTAATTTATGTACGAGTCAGCAATGTCTGTAAGTGATTGCTTGTGCTCTGTTGAGCTTTCTGTGAGGAGGAAAAGTTCATTGTTCCAACCTATGATGAGAGGCGAGTTTGTGATATGCGGTAGAGATTCCTGCAGGCTGAATTGAAATGAGGGGACGGACCACAGACACGGAAAGTGAGTTCCCACGCCAGGTGGTGTGCCCGCCCGTTTGGGTTGCAGCCAGAAATGCCAGAAATGTTTCCTATGTGAGCCTGGAACCATGTAATGTGAGAGAATGAAAAACTTTCTTCCTTCTCATGGTCCGAGATTAACAACTATAGCTCTCTTCGAAGAGACTAGGGCCGCTGAAAAACTTCTTATAGCTGTTCTGGAGTCAGAGTAAACGGCTAATATCTGCAAACGTGCAAATAGCAGAAAGAAACGGAGGCAGAAAATCTTGTTTGTGCATGCCAATGCAACAGGCAAGTCTATCAGTCTGGCACGCGTGTATGTAGGCAAGTCTATCTGTCTGGCACGCGTGTATGTCTACATGGTAGATTACATTTCTCCTTTAGGAAAGTTATTCAGTGGTTGACTCATACATACATTACCGCTATTATCGACATATACCATGCCTCAATCATCAGACACGTTTCTTCACTCCTGAGCGGATACAAAAGTTCGCATTCATCGAACTTCAGTCTGCACTTACACTTTTGACAATGTAAACAAAGATTAGAAGATGAGCCACCGATTAGTAATCTCTCATACCCTTATAATCTCTGATTAACAGTTAATTGGTCTGTCCTACATAGAAGCGGCTGCACCTAAGAGGAACCCTATACACGTATCTGATACGTATATGTGCTTTTGCAAGCAGGCTTTTATGCTCTGACCCCTCTTAATGAGGTTATTCGTCTCCTGGGATAGCTTGCCAATATCCTCTCTCACTACCGTACCTCCAACTTCCCCTGCACTCTGCATAATGATACTCGTCAGATTATCATTCATTGCGTCAACGCTAAGGCTGGTTTCCTCGATAAGAGCAGAGTACCTGTTCTGGAGCGAGACTTTGAATTCCTGTACTTTCCCTCTCAGTGCTAGCTCATTGATTGGCTTCTCATGTATCAGTTTCTGTCGTTCCTTCTTCAAGTCCAGGCTAACTCGAGACCGTACCATTCTATGGTCACTGCATCGTACTTTGCCAAGCACTTCCACAGTTCTGCATGATGCCTGGGTGTGCACTCAGAATGAAGTCTATTACAGCAAAAGCTGTTGTGAGATCACTTTTCAGGTCACGCGCAGTTGCATGTTGTCCTGCCTGCCGCTGCTGCCAGTGTCCGTAACCACATCGCGCAAATTTGAAAAAAAAAAAAAAAAACTTGCAATAATGACACAGTGGGGCTTGAACCCAGGTCCGCGGGGTGTGAGCCCAATATTCTACTATTGAGTTATACACTTGTCCCACGGGCGTCCGCAAACACCGTTCAACTCCCTCGCCCTTACGACAAGGAAGGTGCGGCCCGTGACACACCGTCACCCTTACGCAAACGAAGCATTTCGCAAAAGACGTTCGACAATCTCCCTTTGCAGCGAAACGAGGTACTCTCGTCCCCAGTATATGCAGGTCAAAAAAATGTTTGGGCACTAAATTGCCACAGTGAGAACAATGATACATTTTGGCAATATTAAACATTCTTTTGTTACAGTACTCATTCATAACATGTGTTTCTTTACATATATATACGCCCACCAGAGTGCAACTGCTCTTCACACTGATGCCTTCCACACCGTGCCTCGCTTGTCGGGCGCTGCCACATAAAAATATTTCGTCTGTGCGTGCGTTTGTTGTCGTCACCGTGCTTGTGTTTTCCCGTGGAAGGAATGACTGACAGCGTTGCATCATCGTCATATGCTTCAACGGCTGCAGGGGTAATGAGACCTGACCTAATTCAAGGGTAACTTATTGGCTAGAAAAACTAGTCATCGAGCACGGCGCAATTGTTAACATAGCGTTAGGCACAAGGTGGCCGGCATCACTATTTTTAGCCAATTGCATATTCATTTGAAATAAGTTTTATTGCCATCTTTGCATCAGGCCTACTTAATGTTGTGTTTTTTTTTTAAACTACGTAACGAATATTCCACCCCCAAAAAAAAAGCAACTAGAGGTGGCATTAGGATACTTCTGCGAAAATCAACAGTGCTGGCAGAGCACCCTCGCTACAACTATTGACAACGTTGCCATTGCTGTGTGACACTGCCACAACTCCATCTCCGTCGAACTACCTAGGGGAGATTTACGTTGACGGAGTTTAACAGGCCGTGTGACAGGGGTATTACGCCTGTGCTTGTAACTTGTTGTCAAACTTGCCTTCGGCAGGCATGACCTAGCACCAATGGCACAGTGGCACCAATGGCATGACCCAGCACCAATGGGTCTGCTGAGTGCCAGCCCAGTATTCTACCACTAAGCTACTCTGGTGCTTGTGACTTGTTGTCAAACTCGCCTTTGGCAGGCTTGATGTCGGGAAAGCAATCGCGTTAATACGACTTGTAAAGCATTTTACAACCGTGAAAGAACAACCAGTCGTCACACAATACGAATAGCGTAACGAGTGGGCCGTCCAATGCTCCAACCCATTACAAAAGCTTGTTCTTGTTTCCCTATCAACTGTGGCGCACACCCACTTCAGCCATAATTCCTCATCGTCGAGAGCCACTGCATGGACAATTGGAACGAAATTCCTTGCAAGTGTTTAGTGGGTACCACGCTTCTCAGAAGAATGATGAAAAATAGCAGAGCGAATGCCAGCCTACTACCTAAAAGTTTATTATTAATGCCCTAGTGG